CTCAAAGCTCTTTTCTAATAAGGGGATCTTTACACCACTTTTATTCCTTTATGTAAAAACAACAGCATAGCCCAGCACCCTTTGAAATCCAGGTGTCTGAGATTACAGACCAACTAATCTTTCCTCCAAATTAGCGTTATCACCTGGAAAAATGATCTCTGCCACTTTCACCACTTCTCATCCAGCTGGATTAGATTTACAGGCCCAGCTGCATTCAGAGAAAATGATCTCATTTTATGCATTACCCCCTGAAGCAGTCTTTCCCCACACTCAGTGCTCGATGAGAAGCACATGAATTTGAGTCAGCTCTCTTCTCTTGAGGAACAGAAGATTTCGAGTCCTTCCCGCTCAAGGTTAAAAACAAGCCCTAAGAGAGTGTGGTGAATACAGAATAAGTTCCACATTGTGCATTTGCCAGGCCAACTGGTGCAGGGCAACCATCCCACATCCTGAATTTGGCAGGCTGACACCTGCAGATTTTCTATTTTAAATGCTCTTGTAATTTTTGGAATACATCTGATTAACAGTTGAAGGTTTTCTTTGGGACAGAAGGGGTTTATTGTTTCATTTACCACTGACATTTAAAAACATACTTGGGGTAAGGTGAAGTGTAAGTCATCTTCAGATTTGATTAGAGAGAAGATATTGGGTTATATCCATTCCATCAATTAAAAAAAAAATTAAGTTATCAGCCACTAGTACAAATGATCAAGCAAAAACCAGTGTTTAAACATGCAAATAGACAATAAACAAGCATGCAAAGCAACTGCTGGGTAATGTATCCACACTGAAACATGTGCAGCAAGCCAGAGAAGCCAATTTCTGCTCGGGTAAGTATGGAAATTGCAAACAAAAGCAGCACATCCATGTTTGCCAAGAGGAGAGTAACTCGCTGTCCTGAAAGCTTAAAGTGACTTGAAGAAGCATTGGAGAACAAAGAGTTGAGAGACAGGACTCAAAGCATCCCTCTGCGCGAGGAGGATACACTACAGAGTCCAGCTGTGCCAGGTACAACAGCATGAACAGTTGATATTTCAATTTGCTAGCGGTTCTTTGTTTTGGATTGAAACACTTCCATAAAGCTCCAGTTTCAGTAAGATATATTGACTTCAAATTTCCATTTCAAACAACAATTGAATTTCTTAAGCAAATATTTTGTTTCAGCATTTTTCAAATTACCCTTCAAGTTTTTCCTCCCTTTTCTTCTCTTTGGAACACCCTACGAAAAAGGAGTGGGTTTATTTTTCTTTTTTAATTGACAAAAAAGGCTTTATTTAGAAAAACAAAACACTCAGGTCAGAGAATGGCCTTCCCCATCCCTGCACCAGGCTGCACACCATGTGGTGCAACTGCAGCAGCTAGTGGCCAGCTGCCTGCTTCATCACCACCTTGGTAGCCACATCACTGGAAGCAAGTCAAGAGAAGATGCAGGCGTGCACATGGCAGGCCATATGGCTCGGGGTTATAGGTTAGGTGTGAGCAACTGCAAGGGATTGCCAACCTAGCTAAGCTCCTAAAGAGACCAGATCTCATCTGACAATCGATCTGGACTCTACACAAAAAAAAAAACCCAGATCCACACATCTGATAAGCACAAATGCTGTACAACCAGAACAGAATGACTAGGACTTAAAACAGTACCCAGGAAGAGTAAAGATAACAATTATAGGCTGCTGATTAAGAACCAGTTTTTCTGCTGACCTAGCTGTGTCAGATGCTTCAACATATGCCTTGCTTCAGTAGAGTTGGGATTTGCTGTATTTCTGGGAGAAATTGGACAAGATAGTGCTCACTGTAGATTGAGAGGTCTCCCTGAAAATATTTCGTCCGAATTCTCTACCACAGCACGCACCAAAAGGCACGCACTGGTAATGTGATTTGCCTCCACTCCAGCCTCCTCATTAGGTTTGCTCGCCACATACCAAAATGGACTGATTTAAACTTAAAAGATGGCAAGACAGACAAGCTTCTTGTCTCATTACCTGACATTATCAGGCTTGCTTGCTCAGGAGACCTCTGCAGATATGCAACAGTAGAGAGGCAGCCTTATCAGCATTTCACTTTCAAAGGATGCAGCTAGGTCTATCAAACACACTAAAAATAGAACATGCTCAAAGCATTACTGTTCAGTTCCATTCAGGCAATTTGGCAAGTCTTAGAAATCCATGCAGCAGTATCACAATCAAAAAGGGACAAAGAAAAAAGCACTTACGCTGGAGCTCATATGTCTGACCACATCTCGAGGGACCACAGAGCGATCTTCAAGCTTCAGCTAAGGGGAGAAAGAGACACACACTGAATTTAGTGACCCCAGATGACACTTGGTCAGAAATAACATGACAAATACAAAGGCACGGTATCCCAATCCTCCAGACTGAGGAGCTTTTCAGCAGAGGATGCTGAGGCACTTCCATACACAGAATTGACCCCCTTGGCATGTTTGCAAAATCCAGACGACAGATCTGAAAGACAGCTACCAGGCAACGCGTCCAGAGCTGTGCTCTAAGTCAGCAGGTGCATCAAAGGACACAGACATTCTGACTTGTTCATCACTTCAAGTCTCCCCCTCCTCTTCCTCTGTCTGCAGCACACATTGTTTCCTACCCACATCCAGTCTATGCACTAGAGAAGTCAGAAGATGCAGGAAGAGTATCACACCACAGTTGTGTCTCATCCTGCATGCTTTTCATTCAACATATCCCCAAATATCTGTGGAAATCCTGTTTGGCCTGGAACATTTTAAGCAAAGCACTTGCAATGAGAAGTCTTAGCTGGCAGGGGAATTGGTGCCAAATTCACTGTAGCAAGCACTTGCCTTGGAAAAATAAAAAAGAGGAATAGCTGTCGCACTTAGTAGCCCCCAGGTCCATGCAAGTAACACAAAATGTTGATAAGAGCACGGATAAAGTCAAAGCACTGCTCATACTGCTCCTGCTAAAGCACTCACTGGCAAAGAGTTAGTGCTGGCCACAAAAGATGCAGGGGGACCATCATTACATATTGTACATCAGTTCACGCAGAGTTGTGGCACCAGGAGTCATTACTGGTAAGGGGAGGTATCACCTGATTAATCTCCAGTGACCACTGGCCAGTTGACCAAGGCAATGTCCTTCCAAAACGGGGTCCTTTAGGCTGCTTCAGTGATCTGAAGACTGCTTGCAGGCTATTTCACTGTTATCAGCAAGCTCAAAACTACAGAATGCAGTTGCCATCGAATATGCTAACACTAAAATGCTACATAGGGGATAATGTCGCAAGCATAGGAACAGAGACTGAACTCTGATTTCAACATGACTGAACTCTAATTTCAGGCTTGCTCGGTCTCAGTAACTCAGTGAAGACTTCCTTCTGCTGAACAGGGAGAAGTCTCATCTGCATTTCAGTGATCAAGAACAGATTAGCACTGGTACATCACTGAGCCCTGCAAATACACTAATTACACACCATGTGAATGCAGCATCAGGGACAGAGCCTCTTTCGCATCTCACTTTCAGAATCTCTCCCTGCTACTGCTGCATTTGTTGCTTCTCCTTGTTGAGCCCCAGTCCAAAATCCATTGTGTTTTGTCAGCATTTCATCCTAATCCATGCCCTGGCTTACAGCCTGCTTTATAAAATTAGACATAAATCTATAATCCAAGGACAGGATCCGGAATCAAACCAAAGTACCTGAGTATTTATTGCCTTCTTGATTGTGTGTTTCAGTAAGAGAGGAAGAACACCAGCCAGATAGGCTTTTAGATCCAACTTCTGGAGACAGAACTCCATCGGAGTGGGAAACCTGAAGCCTCCCACAGCCCATTTCCAGATTGTGGAAGGGTTTTCATCGCCTCCCACATTCCACCAGGGTATATAGATAGACATCAATTTTTATACAGCTTTCTAAAATTATTTGTTAAAATAAGTACTGTGTAGATAGCCTCTTAACATCCAGACGCAGGCAGCAACATCCATGTTGCTGTAAGCACTCACGCACGAGCAGCAGTTTGGGTATATTTTAAGTGGAGTTTTCTTGCTGCAAAGCTCCAAGCATATAATGATACTTTCATTTCAACATGCATTAGGGCAATTTAATCTCTGACACATGGTGTTTAAATTGATGCATTATGTTTCAACATATCATTGAGCCATAACGCTCCATTCTGTATTAAACAGTACTTGACAAGATGATCTGATGCTACCTGGCAGTGGCAATATTTGTGTGTTAGTCAACTCCAGTAAATCATGAAAGTTGCAAACGTGTAACTTTCCCATTTTGTGATCCTTCCTGAAGGATATAAGCAGACAAATTCTTCCCAAAGCAAGGCATAAAACTTTCTCTGCAGGGGAACTACATTCAACCTGTTTTCAGATCTCTTGATTTTTAAAAGGCAGCACAACTATTTTCAGCTTCATGTGCCAGACCCACCTGCCCCAGTTGCTAGGATAAGCAAGCCAAGTAGTAGGCAGAATGCCAGCATCAACAATAAATACTTAGCAGGTCTGTCATCGCACAAGAGACTATCAAAACCCAGAACAAACCCGACTGAAGGAAGCCAGAATGGCTGTTGATGAACACGTGACAGTTCAGTCATTCCTCCTCTTGCCTGTTATACCCAGAGCAATGTGATCATCAGCCGAAGGTCAGCCTCCTCACTCAGCAGTGAGGGAACTCAATATTGGAGAAGCACTTTTAAAATAGGTACCTACAGCTCAGTCACTATATTTACCTCTATGAAAGTCAGTATTAACAGGAGCAGCTTTATGTTCTAGCCATGCGCCTTGATAATAGCCCCAAGAATGAGAAGTAGCAGTTTCCCAGAGATGCTCTCAGCTAGTCCTCCTCCATGCCAAGCTCAGCTCAACACTCTCCAAACACCTCAAATGGAAGGTGTGTTCTGTGTTGCCTTTTTAAAAAATAAATTCACATTATGTATGTTAAATAAGGCAAACCAAAGACACTCATCACTGCACACACATTATACCCAGGCAAAAAGGGACGACGAACACCCACCTACCAGGAGTCAGTTACATTGGTTAGTGCACTGACTGCAAAAAGAAGAGGTAGAACAGCTCTGGCACCCATTTATTTCCTTGCTATTCAGATGCTGAATCAGTGCCTGAGCTCCACAGCAGATCTACTAGTCAAAAGGCACCAGCTGCAACTCGGAGAACGTCTGATACTTCACCAGGTCTGATGATGCTCTCACACCAACACAGCAGGAGGGGGACAGAAATTCCCATTTCTGCATAAAGAACAAGCACCAACAGGAATGTGTTCCCCTTCTCAGCTGAGTCACCTCACCTCAAATGAAAGAAGGTCCATCACAGCTCTCACCTGAAACTGGGTAGATTAGAAGAAGACAGATATTTCTGCCTAGCTGCTGAGCATTAACTCATGAAGCCTTGGTAGCTTATTGCTTCAAACCATTTGTTTAATTTCTTATCACAAATAAATTCATCATTTGAAGAAAATTTCTTTTTTTTTAAATTAACTGCAGAGATTGGGAGATAAACTTGTGGCAATAAACTTGCTTTAGCAAACAATTCAGCAGGTAGGTGTAGGCATCCTTGGGCAGGGGTGGGTTAAACTCACACTAACTCTCTGGGTTTAACCCCTCAACTCCACAAAGCAAATGGGAGACATGGGCCAGTTTTCCTCTCCAACAGCCACCTTCTGACAAGAGATCAAAAGCAGAGTAGTTTATTTTGATGACAGACTAGCCACCAGTGCCCAGTATTGTGGCTGGTAAATAAGTAGCAACTGCTTCTGCAGTTTAGTGACAATGGAGGAGTTGCCGAGATTGCTATAGGGACCAACTAGCCCTGGTTGATGTGTATCCAAACAAAACCAGCACTGGAAGTACTCTGTAGCAGCATAAACCCCTGATCACTACCTGCATATTTAAAAGCAGAGATTAAATTCCCCAATTAGCTGCTGGAGTTTGCTTATAACATCATTGGTACTCAACAGTGGACAAATCCACCTCTACGCAGGCTCCAGCTACCATTGTTGTTCTCCCCTCCCACAATGTTTTATCCAAAGGGAAAAAGACAACACCAACATGCTTACTGCCAGCACCTCTGTTTCCTATTCCCATACAGCCTCTTTCCTGCACAGGGCAGGAGTCTTGCTATTTTACTTTAAGAGAAGTGAAAGAAGGTAATTCTGCCTGCAAATAGCAGCATTTTGTTTTGCGACTGCCACAATTCACTCCAAGCAGACAACGTTATCACAGGAGATAATTACAAATAAACTGTCCCCTGCTCCAAATAACCCAAGAACAGAAGTTGTGGGACAAGCTAAACACAGAAAGGAGCCCTGGTTTTAAAGGCTGAATGCATCTGCATGCAGTTGTTGGTTGTTCAGTATCAAATAATGCCAGTACGCACCTTTTGGACAGGCTCCCTTGCCAGCTTTCAGAGGAGCTGGCTACTCGGTGGACCTTGCAGGCTGATCCCATGGTTGGACACCAAGAAGAAGAGACCTTGTCACTATGGCTCATCATTGCCCAAGGCTGAACTTCAGATCATGGTCGCTCGATCTTTAACACCCAGTGACACACAGACTTGGGAGCACACCTTTCACCTGAGTCAGCCATGGTTTTACAACTGCCTTTCTGCTCGGCTACCCAGCAACAGAGCTCACCCTGGCTATGGAAGATGACACTTGATCCAGCATAAAGCTTGCCAATACCAACTTAAACTGTTAAAGTTCATGCTCAGTCAGTGCTGTCTCATAACTGCAATGTCTCACCAAAGAAGAATAAAATTTGTTCAAGGGTGCTTGTGCGATCCCACAGCCTCTACCTCCAACGCAATCACTGTGGTGAGGAGAACATCAGTTTCTATTCCAGAGGCTTTCCAGATTTTATCCTCCAAAACAAGAGCCCTGGGAATAAGCACATAAGGATGCAGAAGAAAAAGCAGCACACACCCACCCTGCCTTGGTAACTGCTTATAAAAACGGGAATACAAGGCACTGAAAAAAAAAAAAGAAGGAAGGCATAATGCTGGAGATGAAACTCTATAGAATCATAGAACAGTTAGGGTTGGAAGGAACCTCAAAGATCATCTAGTTCCAACCCCCCTGCCATAGGCAGGGACACATTCCACTACACCAAGTTGCCCAAAGCCTCATCCAACCTGGCCTTGAACACTTCACATTTGCCTAAACTGCTATATGATGGTTGAGATATTTATCCTACTAAGAGTCAGAAGGGAACTACCTATTACGGAAGTTGCTCCTGTCATTTGAGTTAAGTAAGGACTTGGCTAGCAGTGGTCA